TGATCATAATGTTGTTGAACTAGTTATGCAATTCAATGATGATTCTAATGATGCTGTGCAAATAGTTGATCAACCTGCTAGAATTTCAACTAGACCTAGGAAACCACCTGCTTACTTGTCTGATTATGATTGTCCAACTCTTTCTTCTGCTAATACTTCCTGTTGTACTCCTTATCCTTTGCATTCATATTTTTCATATTCCAATTGTTCTGACTCTCACACTGCCTTTTGCATGTCTTTATCTGCCACCATCGAGCCTACTTCCTTTAAAGAGGCTTGTCAGCATGATCATTGGCAGCAGGCTATGCTTGCGGAAATTCAGGCTCTTGAGAGGAATAAAACTTGGTCATTGGTCAGATTGCCGCCAAAGAAAAGGGTTGTTGGGTGCAAATGGGTCTACAAGACTAAACTGAATGCAGATGGGTCCATAGAAAGACATAAGGCACGACTTGTTGCCAAAGGGTTTACCCAAATTGAAGGCATGGATTTTTTTGAAACTTTCTCACCTGTTGTGAAGTTAACAATGGTCAGATTCCTTCTTTCCGTTGCAGTTTCTCACAACTGGTTTTTTACACCAGCTTGATGTTGCTAATGCTTTTTTGCATGGTGATTTAGATGCAGAGGTTTATATGAAACCTCCCCCGGGATTGATTCTTCCTGAACCTCATTTGGTTTGTAAATTGCACAAGTCTCTCTATGGACTCAGACAAGCTTCTCGGCAGTGGAATTCTAAGCTCACCTCTGCCTTAATCTCCTATGGTTTCTCTCAGAGTCCTGCTGATCACTCCCTCTTCATCAGACACTCTTCTACTTCTTTTACTGCTCTGCTGGTTTATGTTGACGATATAGTTCTTACTGGTGATAGAATGCAGGATATTGTTGCTGTTAAGCAGTTTTTACATCATGAATTCAGAATCAAAGATTTGGGAAACCTCAAATTTTTTCTTGGTTTTGAAGTTGCTAGATCACAACAGGGTCTTATTCTGAACCAGAGAAAATATTGTTTGGACATCTTGGCCGAATTTGGTTTCACCGGTTGCAAGCCTGCCAATTCCCCTTCGAATCCTACTGTTAAACTCAAGGATGATGAAGGTGATCTTGTTCAAGATCCTACTGCTTACAGGAGATTAATTGGTAAACTGCAGTATTTAACAAACACTCGTCCTGACATTTCCTTTGCTGTTCAGCAAGTTAGTCAGTTCATGTCCAAGCCAAGATACTCTCATCTAAATGCTGCGTTCAGGATCTTGAAATATCTCAAAGGATGTCCCGGCTTAGGTCTTTTCTATCCTTCTGCTAATCCTCACAGAATTCAGGCCTTTTCTGATTCAGATTGGGCTAATTGCTGTATCACTAGAAAATCCACTACTGGTTACTGTGTCTTCTATGGTAATTGTCTTATCTCCTAGAAATCCAAGAAGCAATTCATAGTTTCTAGGAGCTCTACTGAAGCTGAATATAGAGCTTTAGCTTCTATTGCTTATGAACTGCAGTGGTTAAAGTATGTTGCTGATGATTTGTGTCTCCAAATTCCACTCCCATTTCCTACTTTTTGTGATAATCAGTCTGCCATTCAGCTGGATTGTCATCTTATTCGTGCTAAGATTCTTGATGGGCTCATTGTTCTTTCTCATGTTCCTTCGAAGCATCAATTGGCAGACATGTTCACTAAGCCACTTTATCCCGGGCCTTTCAATGTTAATTTGTCCAAGATGGGCTTGCTGAATATTCACCACCCATCTTGAGGGAGGGTGTGATAAATACGTTTCTACGTTTCTGTTAGGATTCTCAACATTAGCTGGCAAGATTGTTTTGCCTTACTGTCAATTCCGTTATCCTTGCTACGTTGGCCAGTTTGTTAGGATGGTTAGCTATTTTCTTTTTTTCATTTTTGAATTGTCTATGCTGTATATATATTCAGCATTCGTGTACCTTACGTTTCCGGTCAGTAATAATGAGGATTGAAGCATTTCAAAATACTCTTAGCATTTCTCTGTCAGTCGTAAAATGGTTGCAATGATTTTGGTCACGGAAGTGTATAGGACCAAATTAATGACCGAATAAATCGGTCGCTATATATTTAGTTTTTATTTTATTAAATTTTATAGACGTTGCAAATTTGGTCACTACGAACCACTCATATTTGGTCTCTGAAGGGTTTTATTTCACAATAATTAACTTTTTAGCATGTTTTGTCCTTAATTACACAATTTTTGGAAACTTCCTAGAAGGTCACCCATCTCTATATTACTCCAAGTCAAGCACGTTTAACTATGAAATTATGATGAAATAAGCTACCGAAAAGCAGATGTATATGTTGTTAGTATAAGTAGTACAAATTAATTCATTTAAGTCATCCTTAACTATCCAATCTCATACTTATATTATCTTTGGATCCTTATCATTTTGGTGTATCCGGACCTTTATAAATATATAATAATATATATAATAATTATATTACTAATTATAATAATTATATTATATTTAATTAATATTTATTTATGTATATACACTTACTTTTATAATTAACAATCTACTTATTTCTATTTAAAATTAATTTTATGATACAATTTAAATTATTTATTATAAATTTAAAAGTTTAAGTAATAATTTATATATTTTAAAATGAGAAGGGTTATAATAACACTGGTACGTATAACTTTTACTAAGTATTACACTGCTAAATAACTTTATATTAAATGTAAATTTTGTAAATCCAACCGTTAGATTGAAAGTTCATATCACTTTATATGTTTATATCAATTTTTGTTAAAATTGAACAACAACTTAAAAGTAATCAAAGTGCTCATATTTTATTTGAAATGTATATATTACGTTAATTTTGTTTTACAAGAATGAAGTATCAAATCATCATGAATTCGTATAAAATTTTGTATATATGATCTAAGAGTAAAAAACTTTTAATCTAGCGGTTGAATTTATAAAATTCACATTTAATATAAAGTTATTGAGCGATGTAATACTTAGTAAAAGTTACACCGATTTTTTTAAGTTTTATTTAGCGACCAAATAGAATTTTGTCGCTAATTTTAACTAATATTTAGCGACCAAATAAAATTTCGTTGCTAATTTTAACTAATATTTAACAACTAAATAGAATTTCATTGCTAATTGTAATTAATATTTAGCGATCGAATTTAATACTGTCGCTAAAAAAATCAAAAATTCTGATTTAGTGACCGAATTCAATTCTTTGCTAATTTTAACTAATATTTAGCGACCGAATTTAATTCCGTCGCTAAAAATAAAAATTTCTGATTTAGCGACCGAATTCAATTCGGTTGCTAAATTTAACTAACATTTAGCGACCGAATTCAATTTCGTCGCTAAATTTAACTTCTATTTAGCGACCGAATTGAATTTGGTCGCTAAATTTAACTAATATTTAGCAACCGAATTCAATTTCATTGCTAAAAAAAATAAAAATTTATAATTTAGCAACCGAATTCAATTTCGTCGCTAATTTTTAACTATTATTTAGCGACCGAATTCAATTGTGTTGCTAATTTTAACTAATATATTTAGCGACTGAATTTAATTTCACTGCCAAAAAAAATCAAAATTTATAATTTAGCAACCGAAATAACGATCAAATTTAATTCTGTCGCTAAAAAAATCAAAATTTCTTATTTAACGACCGAAATAGCGACTGATTTTTTAGCGACAACTTATTTTAGTTACTAAATCAATCGCTATTTTGATTATTCATAATCAGTCGCTAAATAGCTACTGATAAATTTCGGTCGCTATTTTGCAATTTTCTAGTAGTGAGTCACCAACACCACCATTATTGAAACCACCATCACCATCATTGAAATCATCACCTTTATTACCACCAACAATAACAATGATGGTTTGGGTGTGGTAGTTGCAGAGACCATAATGGTAGTGGTTATTGCGACGACATTTTTGATGGTAGTAACGATGGTGATGGTATCGACATCAATGACAGTGATGGTGATGATGTCAATAGTGATGATAATAATAGTGATGGTGATGGTGATAATAACAGTAATGACAATAACAATGGTGAAAACAATTATGATGATGACATTATGTGATAATTTTATTTGTAATCTTTTAATTTAATTCGTTTCTTTTAGTCTAATGGTTGAGATTAAACATTTTCATTATCACGTAAAAAAAGACATATTCTAGTAGTATATTCTCTATCTTTGTATGTGTGTGTCTCTCAATAAATCATGTTTTATATCAAATTTTAACGATTCAACTTTTAAATTAAAAGTTTTTAATAAATAGGTCAAATCTGCAAATTTTTAAAAATTTTGAAAATCATATGATACTTTATTATATAGATTCAAATTAACATATATAGAATATTTATGATTATCTGTCAATTTAAATCGAAATATCATATGATTTTTAAAAAAAAAATTAAAATTTGTAAACTTGATCTATACATTAAAAACTTTTAATTCAACAATGAATTGTTGAAATTTGATATAAAAGATGTGTTATTAAGTTGAATAAATCTAAATGAACTTATTCTTGAATTAAGTGGATCTCTTCTCTGTATATATATATTAAAGTCCTTTATTGTTTACATCATGCCTGTTTCTAATTTGTTTATAAATTATTTTCCAATTTGGATATAATCATCTGTGCTTGTGCTCATGCATTTTGACATATATGAAACGTGTTAAGAATCATGACTAGATTTGTTTTTCTATTATTGACTACAATTATATGATTGAGCAAAAGTCCCAAAATCCACATAGTAGTTTTCATATCTTCATTTTGCTGCAAAGAATGAACTGGCAGATAAAATAGGTTAGGAATAATTTTTTTCTTATAATTACATAATGATCATTTGATCAAGAATTTTGAATGTCCACCACATTATTATGAGTTTAATAGACATGTTCTATCAATATAAATATTTTATATTATTAATTAATTAAAAAATATTTTAAAGATAATTTTTATAAAATCAATATACTTATATATCTTTCCCGATGAATTATCATTAAGTGATGTGTATTATTTATTCTTAATACATTTAGCTAACAAATAAAAGTACAATCACCATGAGTCTATTTTAAATAAACAAAATAAAAAATAAAAATACAACCACTTTGTTGAACACAAACATCAATCAAACAGGAGCTGTTCTAGCAGACACTGCATGGTGAGTGTCCACAACATCATTTTCATCATTCTCCCCACTCAACTCCTCCAATGATTTTCCCTTTGATTCTGGAACCATCAAGGTAAACAACATCCCAATGAAGTTGATCACACCAAGCATAATAAGGGAGTTCTTGATCCCAATACCTGTAGGGTACCCTGCATCAGTCTTGGAAGGGTCCTTGCTTTGTGCAGCATAGAGGAATCCAAATGCACCCACAATTGCACCAGCCTTTCCTGCAGCAGCAGAAATTCCATGACAAGTAGACCTTAGTCTTGCAGGGAAAATCTCTGCTGGCACAACAAATGTGGTGGCATTTGGACCAAAATTGGCAAAGAAAAAAGTGAGAGAGTACATCACAACAAACCCAATTCTGTTTGCTTTCTTAGTCCAATGATCATAGGGTATGGCCAAAGCAAACATGAACACAGTCATGAAGAAGAACCCCATCAGCTGGATAGCAAAACGGCCCATGCGATCAATAAACAACACTGTTAACCAGTAACCTGGCACAGTGCTGCACAGTGCTATAAGTGTTTGTGCTCTTGCAATCTTATACACCTCATGGATTGCATTCATTTCCTGTGCTTTAGGGATCCACCCAATTGCACTGAAAATGTCCTTTTGGAAAAGGTTCTGGCTGTAGAATGCTATGTCCAAAAGGAACCAAGTGGTGGTGGTTCCAACCAAATGCAAACCATGGCGTTTCACAAACTCCTTGCTGAACAAACCATACTTGTTGCCCTCATTCTCTGTTAATTCCTTCACCTTTTCCTCTTCAGCTTCAAGTTCCACTTGTAACACCTTGGACATGTCTGCAGCAGCTTGTTTTGCATTCTTGGCCACAAGGGCTGTGTAACGTGCAGTCTCTGGCATTTTCATGCGCCAGTAGTAGGTGAGTGCTGCTGGTACTGCACCACACATCAAAACTATTCTCCAAACATAGTCAAATGCAGGCACCAAGGATGCTTCTGGATCTTGTTCATAAGTAGGAACCTTGTACTTTTGGTCATATGCATATGAAACAACCAAGGCAACTACTCCACCAGCCAAGATTCCAAATCCTTGCATGGCAAACACTGCTGCTATGAACGCCCCACGAGTCTTCTTGTTGGCGTATTCAGACATGATTGTGGCAGAAAGAGGGTAGTCACCACCGATCCCAAACCCTAGCCAGAACCTGAAGAAACAAAGTGTTGCCATGACACCCTTTGGAGTTGATCCAAAGGAGAGCCCTGAGGCAATGGAGCACACTACCATGAGGACAAGAGTTAAGCCATAGACCTTTTTCCTTCCCATTTTGTCACCAAGCCAACCAAAGAATAGTTGGCCAGCTAATGTGCCACATAGTGCCACACCTGTCACAGAAGATTGAACTCTTGGAGGAAGAGTTCCTGGCTTTGCTGCACCTGGCTGTGTGTAATATATCCTCCCCAAAAGCTTGGTGACAAGGGAAATGCAGAAAAGATCATAGGCATCAGTGAAGAAACCCATTCCAGCTATAACAATTGCAGTGAAGTGGTACCATTGTGTCTTGGCCACATCAAGTGCATTCAGCACTCCAAGTTGTCCAGCCATTACTACGTTCTGTTACCAAGCTAGAGACTAAGCTTCCTGCACAAGTACAAGAGATAAGTTTAACAACATTTGTGTTGGAAGTTTGAGATTTTTTCCAACAATCATAAATAGATTATTTTAAACTCTATGCGTAAGTCTGACTAAAAAGTTTTTTATGTCAGTAAAAATAAGTTGTAGCTTAAGACAAATGATACTTATTTGTTGATTTAATCAATTTTTGTTTTATTCAATTAGAGATTTGGAAGCTTTAGTACTTAAATACTTGTTGTAAATACTTTTAAAATATGCAAAATTGAATTCATAAATCAATTACATCAAATTAGGTTTTATTCTCCTTTATATCTATATTTGTTGATTTTTCTCAAAAATGTTTTTTATATGTTTGATTTTAGAGTTTGATAATAAAGGACACACATATTTTTATATTAATATAATATTATCTACTTTAAATGTAAATTTTATAAATTTACTTTTATTTATCATTTGAAATGTCTCGTATTAATGAAAATTTTGTATAATTTATAAATTCATATTTTTCCTCTTATTTTTAGGATATGAGATAGTAATAACTTTTTAAGACCATCACTAAAGATTGTTCGGTACATATGTTCTGTCTTCTAACTATATATATCTCCCAACGAGTCCAATAATCGTAACATAAGCATGCAATGCAATATTCTTTTATCCTTTATTTTTACTAATTTATGAATGAAAATGATATAGAAATTTGGGATTTCTGATAATTATATGGAGCTTATTAGTTTTCAATTAATTCTCATTTATAATGGTGAAGGAATAAAATAAAGCAGTTTGACAACTCTTCTCAATTAATATAATAGAACACGATCGAGGAACAAGTACAATTGACTTGTGTAAGAAATTAACATGAGCCGTCACTTTTGACTTCTGTGAGGTTGATGTAAGATATGCATAAACTATTGTTACTTTGAAATTAAAATACTATACTGATTGTCAAAAGCTCTGCCATAATATGTGCAGCTAGCTTCTCAAAAAGTTTGATATGTGGTCGAGGCATTTTGTTCACGAAAAACAAAACCCTAATGATGAAATCACTTTATGATAAACTGGTGAAGATAAGAGAAAGAAAAATAATGAAATGAAAATACAAAAAAAGACAAAGGTACAAGAGACCTTCTTTTTTTTAATTGTTTGTTTACATTTGTTTCACTTCTAGGAGAACTGCGCTAGTAGCAGGCAAAGTGTGTAACTGCACTGATGTAAAGTCCAGAGACGACAGTAATGTAATGTGTTGTGGAGAGTGCATGAAAAAATAATCATCAAAATAGCATCCTCGGAGTGGTAAAGAAACTCAATATTCAATGGTGGAGTAATTTTAATAAATCAAGATATTAAGAACTAATTCATCATGATATTGAGATTTATTTACGAACTGATTTTTTTAATAAATACTTTTTCATAATTACATATTAGAAGTTTAGAATTTAGAATCAAATTATCACATTTTAAAAGACAAAATTAACTATCAATCATGTTAGTTAAAATGATTTATGGTGTGTTATCATTATGATAACTAGAAATTCAATAAATATTTTTTCGTACGTACCATATTAAGAGTTTAGAGTCTAAGATTTAGAAGTTAAACTCCTAACAAATGATCACATTTTTAAAAGATAAAATTATCTATTAGTAATGTTCATTAGAGCAAATTCTTCTTTCTTATCATTATTATAACTAGAAAATGTGCTCCTCCCTGGCACCTAAAGAAGTGGAGCCTCCTACAAGGGAAGATCTTCCATTGAGATAGAAAGTAAAAACTCTTTCAAATTCCATGCATAACCAAAATGCACTACAGAATTTTCCAACTTACCAAGAGAGATAGAGAACAAACCTACTTGTCAAAGACTGAAGGAGTATAGAAGTGGAAGTGTTGGGTATGAAGAAATACACTGTGGCGTTGAGTGAAACTACACATATATATAACACAATATCTCACCCTTCCCAATGATTAATACATCCAGAGTAAAAAGAATCGACTAAAGAATCTACAGCATATGCTCAATCTTGAGCTTTCATATATCCTTTCATGTCAACGCTTCGGAAACACTAGGCAAAAAATAAATGTTATTAGTTTTTTTTGTTTTTTTTTGTCAACCATAGAACTTTAAGCCCTGACATTGATCCTACTTGGAGAAAGATACAATTAATAATTACCTTCCGTATTAGTTAATTGCAAGCCAGTATTCAACAAACAACAATATTAATTTTCTCAAATTTATAAAATTATCAGTTAACTATAACTGGCTTCACTTTTATTTTCTATAAACTCACATTTTGATTGTGTCATCTCACGCATATAAACTTGCAAAGGCTTGGTTGGTCATTATCAGATTAAAATTAAATCATATATAGTTTTTTTCAACTTGTTTCAAGTCCCTAAACCTTGCTGATATTTTTCTTCATGAAACAGTGTGCTTGGTTACATCATTAATCTATGTACTTCTATCTATCAAATATATATACGTATGTACTTCTATGTATCAACTGTCAATTATCCCAAAAAGTTAGTTTATTGTTGTTTTTTTTTTAATCTAAAACAATAAACTGTCAATTTATTTTTATCTATATGAGATTATAAAAATGTGTTATGAAGATTGAATCAGGTCCTTCCGCTTTTATCTCAACTCTTTCCTCTCCAATCACTGTTTACTCTAGTGAATTATCAATTATTTTAATCATAAGCTTAAAATTCGTGTTTATAAAATGTCGCTTTTTTGTAAACAAATTAGTCAAAGATTATAAGCTGAATATTTCAAACGATTGCAAAACATATATTAGTGATTCTAACGAGTTTCTTCTTAATATATAGAGAAAATCTGTTCTCAAAGAATTTGATGCAATGAAAAATGAATAGAAATAAAATAAAAGTACATGGAAATGGAATGAAAGACAAAAAGATCGACAGATATACATCTATATATATATAATTGCCAATTGGGCGATGTGATCAACCATAATCGTGTGCAGTCACTTCTGTGTTAATTCCGGTGTTAGAAATTTTTTTCCACCATGAATATACAGCGAGTGAGTGAGCAAATAGTTAAAGACTAAAACTATTTTTTAGGAGCAGTGTTTGGAAGAAAAATCACACCACTTTAAGTTCAATAACGAAAGAACATACAAAAATAAAACAAAATAAAGAAATAGGAAAAAGATGATATAAATTTATTTGAGTTTAAATATGATTTTGTTCATGTATTTATTTTTTTTATATTTTTTAACGATAAAAAATATGAGCTACTATTAGTTTTACTTTTTATCATTTTTTTTCATCCATCTAAAATTGAAATTGTTATCATTGTTGTTTTTAGTCCCTGATATCTGATTATTGTTAACTATTTTATGTTTATTACATGCATGGTCAAATGAAAATAAGTGTCATTAATTTTTTAAATGTAAATAAAATATAGAAAATGATAATTAAAAAATAATTTGAAATATTTTTTTAATTATCATTTTTAATTATAATTCATAAATATTATATTATATGTACTGTTGAATGAAAATTTCTAAATATTACTTTAAGTTGATAAAATAAGTTTGTGAAATATAAGTTAATTTATTTACATTTAAGTTAGTAATAATTAAATATTTTAAATATTAAATTATATATGAAATAGTAAATTAAAAATAACGTAAAAATAAATTCTTATACATATAGAGAGATGTTAACTCTTAATTATTTAAAAGTACCCTTCAAATACATGGTCCATTTTTATTTTGTCCATCTAATATGCTATCAAACTAAATGCTTTATGTCGTAAACACATACACAGACAGACACATATATATATATATATATATATATATCAGAAACAATGTACCTCAGCTAGCCACCAGTTATTTTTGTTGGGTGACACTAGTGACTAATTATATAGTCACTCACTGAATAGTACTAAATTAAGAAATTATATAAAGTACAAAACGTACAAGTTTCGACAACACACTTGCTTTTGCCATATATGGTGATGGTGACGCATGTAGCACATATATATAATACGCATATATACAATACAACACGAAAACATTATCCTCAATTGTGTGCTTATATCATACTCGTATTCAAGTCAAATCACGCGCAAACATTATTGCCGATAAATTATCTTAAACTTTATGTAACATGCATAAAAATTATTTGATGTAACAATCACGAAAGTCCCATTTGATGGAAATATTTTATAGACTGAAATACGTTTTTAATAAGTATAACAGAGTATATTTATTTTCAATGCTCAAGTATTTTTGTTTGCTTTAATTTCCATAAATTTTAAAACATCTTAAAAAAGAGTTTATTTTAAGATATTTGAAGAGTTTACAAGTTCCTTGATTAATTTATAATCTAATTTGATCAAAATAATCTTATTTGGTATAAGAATTTATATAAGCTAATTTTTAAAAGTTTATAACATATTTTATAAGTAATTGAAGTAGTTTGTAGTTTATAAACTATTTTTTCTCTATTTTATATTTTTATTAATTTACTTGATTTTTATTATCTTTTTTTAATTAAAATAATATTTTGTCTATCTTATCATTGTCTCACTCTCATTATAAAAAAATATTTATGTTATTTTATATTTATTAGTTAACTTAACTTATCGATTAATTTAAGTTTCTCATTGTGGAGAGAATTTTGACATTGCACAAAAACATATTTATCTATTATCTTTCAAGTTGCTTTGTAAATTGTGTTCGAGTCTTTCAATTCTATTGTTAATATTGGAATTTTCTTGACCGTGAAGATGCATTGGTTTGATTTTTTATTTTTTTTTGTTTAGTGAAGTAAGAAGATGGAGGACCAACCTTGGAGTTGCATGTGAGATCCATCACTAGATCTATAGCCAGGAGAGTGGAGGAGGATGGAGGAGCTATCATGCCTAGGGCCATGCTCATCATGAGCATATAGTATTGATCATCTCCTAAGCCTTGATATTATTATAATATGATTTATCATATCCTAAGCCTTGATATTATTTTGGGATACCCTAGACTATAGGACTTTGTTTGATTTTCTTGTAGAGTTAGGGTATTATAGGAGGGTTAGAGTATAGGACTTTATTATAGGACTTTGATTTTCAAATAATTTGGTTTTAGTAACTCGGAATGGGCTGTTCCAAAATTGAAACGAGTCGTTCTCAAATTGAAACGGGCCGCCCCAAATTACAAAAAATGGCCTAAAACTCTAGTTTGGAACGGGCTGTTCCAAAACTAGAACGAGTCATTCCAAGTTCCTAAAAAAGGCTAAAACCTAAGTTTAGAACGGACTGTTCCCAAAACTGGAACGGGCGTTCTTAAACTGGAACGGGCCGTTCCAAGTTGCAAAAAAGGCCTAAAACCTTAGTTTGGAACGGGTCGTTCTAGCATAGACATTTATGTGTTAAACTCAACTCTGGAATGGACCGTTTTGGTTTTCGAATGGGTGGTTCCAGGAGGCGAAATTAACACATAATGTACAGATCCAGAACGGGCCGTTCCGAATCTGGAACAGGCCATTCTGACAACTTTTTGATGATTACAAATAGCAGACTCGGGCACAGTTCTCAGGGTGACAAAATTTCGTCCAAGACTCCTTAGAGAATTTCTCTCTCTCTCCCTCCTATTGTATTTCTTGAGTTTTGTGAGGCATATTGTAGTGAGAAAGGTTGCCACAAAACACCTAAAAATCTCCATATTTGAAGATTTAATAGAGCTCGTTCAAGAGGTATTTCAATCAATCTTCTTCTCTCTCTTTTATTTCTTATCTTTGATAAATATTGTTATAATAAAAGCAATCATATAGACATTTTAGAGTCAATTGTGTAATTTAAATTTCAAGCATGTAAATAGTCATAATAAAAAGGGATTCAATATTTATATTATTATTTTTATAATGCTAACTTCATTATAGGGTACCGATTAAGGGCGTTGTAAGGGTGCTTAATACCTTTCCTACACGTAATTGACCCCCGAACCCAATTTTGGTTATCAAGGCCATTATTGAACTTTTAAAAATCTTTTCTTTTTCCAATGTTTTGAGTAAAACATTGGTAGTGACTCCAAGAACCTATTTTTATTTTTGAAAACCATTAATTAATGATTAGTCTAGTGTCCGAACATTCCTTAATTGATGAGATTTTCAAAAGGATGTCTAAACCATTAGTCGCGAGATCGAAAATTTTCGGGTTGCGATAATAAGCCCCCAAGATTTGAGTCCATTTGGGTAAAAGAGATTATAGGGGTTAGTTAGACGAGGTGGGGAAGAATAAATTCTGAATGAAATGGCTAGGCGGGTTGGGTAGCCCAATTCAACTAGTGCATAAACTCGACGTAGCGGGAGCTCAATTTGGCAGCATGACTTACCAAGTTAGGCGGTGCATAAACCCCCAAGCTTTGAAATTAACTAGGGGAAAGAATTGAGTGAGAGAATAGCAGGTGTTGATGTGTTTGGCCCAATTAGTGGGGCTTTGATCATGATGACGTGTGGTGCATGAATAGGGAGTCGTGGGTTAGAGGCCATGTGGATGATCATGGATCGTTGATGGCTTAAAATATGGCTTCTATTTTTAAAGGTGTTATTTAAACTGCAGAAGTGGAGGTCAATGGTTACGTGTTTGAGAAGGAGAAAAATGTGCATTTTGTGTAAGGCTTTGAGTATTACGACAGTTGTGGTGCCTTTGTCTTATTGTGCTAGGTATTGATTTTTATTCTTCTTGTGTGCATTTTATATATTGTTGTGTGTGGTGTTAAGTGTGGCATGTGACAGAGATATGGTTAAAAGGTGTTTGGTGTTGTTGTCAAGTGAGAGCAATTCATTTGAAGTAGCTTTAAAGTTGCTGGAGAAGTGTGAGAAAGGTATTATGGGTTACAGTGCGACAGATGCGGTAGTTGTTGTGTAGCCCATATCTGTTAGGGTTGATGATGGGTTCGAGTCACAGGTGAAAGAGGGGGTAGATGACAAGGGAAAGGGTCCATTAGATGTTGATGTATACGAATGGATTAAAAGTGAAATGGACTGGTATAAGAGTAGGGTTGATTTGGAGGAGGTTATTGTGGCGTTGTTGGAGAGGTGTGTGCTGTAAGCTCTAAATGATGCCCACCTATTCGTAGTGCATAATTGCGTTGGAGAGGATCAGGTGTATTTGGGCAAGGAGATGTGTATGCAACCGTTTATGTATATGTATCACTATGTGTTGTAGGATATCGATGTTTCTTTGTCGTTCTCCAAGTTGGAGTGTACACTTTTAAGAAGGGTCAATGTTGCACCGAACTAATTACATCCTAATAGTTAGGTGTTCTTGAGGGCATTCCAAGTGTTGTGTTCTTATATATGTTGGGATTGAGCCAACATTGGCAAAGTTCATGTATTTCTAGCAATTGAAGGTGAGTTTGCCTATTTGATAGATGTCACTAAATGGGTGGCGACGAAGGACATTATTTAGTTTGTTTGCTCAATTGTTCAAAAGGTTTAGAGTAACTTTGTGCATATTGAGGTTATTGTTGGTCATGAGTAGGGTAATTTTGTATTCGACGGGTTGGATGGGGAGCCAAAGTTTCTGTTGTGGTGGATGGAAAATCCTTGGAGATTTAATAGGGAAAGGGGTATTAGAATTATGAAGGCCAAAGTGGATGAATGTAAGGAATTGGTGGGTCAATAATGGCCACTGGATGTGAGAGTTGTGTTGTTGTTGCCTGGTGTGGAAAGTTTATAGGACGTTATGTAGGCTGAGTGTGTTTAATGTTTTGTTTGGCATTATGGTTGTGTGGTACAACGACTTAGGCATTTTTTTGTTTGTTTATAGATTTGATGGGAAAATGAATGCGGAAGTAGTTGAAGACGAGGTTTTGAGTTGTTGATGAGGAGAAGGGGTCAATCAGGGGCAACTAAGAGGGATGAGGAGTAGAGGTCTCATTCGAATGAAATGGAAGGTTAAAAGGGCTACTTATCGTGAAATATCCAAAAAAGATGGGTGCTATAAAGCATGAAGGGTCATCCAAGAAGGTGAAAGTGGACGAAGAAAAAGGTAAGGGTTGGTTGAGCAAGGGGTTTGGTGCATAGGCTATGGTAGTTGGTGAGGTAGCTATGGATTCAATGTTGGTTGTGCAAGAGGAGTTGACTACTGAGATGGTGGTTAGGGTCAGAAGGAAAGGCAAAGCCAATGGTTAAGAGGGTAGATGTTCCAAAAGTGAGGAAAAGTGTTGGTCTTGAAATGATTATGTTAGATGGTGATAGCAGGTCAAAGAAGCTAAGGAAGGGTTTATGGCTATTTAAATGCGAAAATGGGTGGTGTTTAGGGAGCGCTCGAGGGACGGGTTGAGTTGTTCTAGGAGAAGAGTGTTGTGGTAAGATTGGTTGATTTGTGTGTTCTTGTGTCACGAGCATCAAAGGGGGCATGAAGGTTGGACCATCTATTTGTTGGGGCAAGTGTTGAATCATTATGAAGCGTAAGGAAGTTAGGGGTTTATTTTCTCCCGAATAAAGGTTTGGGAGATTTTGACAAGTAGATGGTGGAGAAGGTTGATGTTGTTAAGGGATTTGATGTAGTGGAAGTAATGTTGGATCAATTTCTATCTATTGTGGAATGGTGGGGCAGTCTGAAAGATATGAGGTGCATGCTCGACACACGAATGTGCAAGTGTTTGTGGTGGTTATGGAACAATAACAAACATTGGTAGCTTTTACCATAACAATGTGGGCTGGGAACATAGGAATGGTCAATGGGCAGAGTTTTGTGTTGCTATTAGGTGAGAGAGATCTTGTGCAACGATCACTGGTGGCGGGTCAAAAGAGAAGTTGTAAGAAAGAGAGTGAGAGTTAGAGAAGCTAGCAGTGTGGAAGGAGAAGATTAAGTTGTTGAAAGAAGAGTTAGAGGAACTTCGGTCTTAGAGAGTTGCAACAATGGTAGGACGTGGTCATGCAAAAATAGAGAAGGAGGTGTTATTGGAGGAGAATAGGAGGTTGGTGCATGAGATTGCTCAGCTAAAAGCATAGCGAGATAAGTTGGCGTTTGAACTAGGAAAGGTTGTTGATGATTTCATCTTGTTGGTAACCGAGCCTGAAGCTAAAATAACCAAGAGGAAGCAAGTGGAGGAAAAATTGGTTGTTATTGAAAAAGTTGTATGCAATGAGCATCTATGGGGTTTCGAGAAGGCGATGTGGCAAATGACATTCTTGATGCCTAATGTGATACCCTTTACTCCGAATACCATAATATGTGTATAAAGAAAATTGAATAGAAAATTTTATCAAAATTAATTTCAAATATTCAACATAGAGAGTACCACATTTTAACAAAACAAAACCAAGTGAAATCTAATACATTAAAATAATAATTGTCCTAAAACATAACTTAAAGAAAAACAAATCCTAGCTAAACCTTGATGTCACATTCTATTAAAGGGTAAACCCAACTACAAGGATTAGGCCTGATGACCAATATCCTCAACCTCATGATATAGATCACCTGCAATAACATACAATAAAGACAAACAAAAACAACAGAAGTGAGAAACATCTCACTTTGTCTCATGATATAAGATGTAGTTAGACAATCAAACACAAACAAGATATACATATATACACAACATGGATAGATTGGTAACAATAAATCCTTTCACTCTTTCAAGACATAATAATTAAATAATACATAACATTAAGATACATATGCAATGGACACAGACTACATATTATCATGCCTGTGGCACAGTAAAAACATCACACGTCACACTTGTGCATTGTTGCTACCAATAGACATAGAGTAGCCTAGGAGTACATGTTAAGTCACACCCTCAATGCACTCTCACTAGGAGGACATATTACAAGGGTTTGGTCAAGATAGTTTAGTTGTACAAGATACATTCCATGTGCATAAAGGGTGCTACTGGGACTTCCTAATCAAGTTATCCTCAAAGACTAATCACCAAGTTGTTACACAAGGGGGCTTCCTTGACGGTGCATTCCATATCGTACTTTTAAAAACACTTTTATGCATATGATACATGTCAACAAACTCTATGCATAACAATTCACACGATCTCATTAATGCACATATCACATGTCTTATCATATTAGATTATCACATCATTTCACTGTCAATTAATCTCATATCATATAATCATCAACTATTCTCAATATAACAATTAACAATTCAACTATATCAATTAAATAATAATGAATCACATCACCAAAACTCCCACATAGCTCACCATCATATCAATAACATACTCACATACCACAACTAGTTATTAATATTAATTAGTACAATGATTACACATGTTTACAGTTTAAACATAACAATTACACAACATCATCCGATACACCTTAAGATAAAATCATTATGAGATCTCTAGTCATATGTTAACACCTCAATCATAGTTATTAAGAGATCAATGTCACTAAGTATTTAAATTGATAACTTAACTAGCCTAGCAACATTATCAATATCACATGTTAAATCCTTAGACATTGTTATCATGAAAACACTTCAAGTCATTAATAATCAACTTATATCATAAATTATTAACAATTAGTTTCTGCCATGATTTATCTTTCCTAGACATTGATATATGTACATCAAACCATTTGTAAGATTAAACATTTAAAGGGTAAAGTTATTCAACATCACCATTGACAAACTATATTTTTATAACTTAATCTTTTTAAGACATCATGTGTCCAAACACCTTATCTAGAGTTATATATGTGTTATCAAGTTGATCTTAATTTTATTAGAAAGCTAAAACAATTATCTCGAACTTTTATGTTGGCCTTAATAGTTAATTTTGTCATCTACTATTTTTAAAAAAATATAAAACCACTGCGTTTCAGCCTAAATTTGACTACCTAATTGTTGCTCACTAGTTTAATAATAAATTGACTTATAAACCTTATTTTTAGGTGATTTCAATGAAATTTCAAAGTTAACATCTGAGGATACAACTCTTATTAAGACACCAAAGCCTAATTTGGACATTTGGGATGCTTTCACGAACTTGCAAGTGGGTGCACATCTGTGCCAATTGCGGTGC